AAAAAATTTAAACTTCATCAGAACTGCTGACGTTTGTATATATCTACATTTGTGTTCATTTTTACGTATAGAAGTAATCAAACTGACAGCTTTAAGTAGCACTTAGAGGATAAAAACAAAAAAAAAGTATATTTTTCTATTACCTTTCTGTAAAGAACAATAATAACACATAGTGTACTCGTATGAAACTTGTTGGTAGATCAATTAGAAAAATATGTAAAAAAAAATTCTAATAAACAGTAGACAATTGTAGCAGATTTGTCATAAATTAAAATAAGATTCTGAAAAAATGTGCCAAATACAGTACAGTGAGTGAAAATAACATAAATACAGCATTGATATACAACAGCAGGTGACGTTTACACTTTTTTTTTTTTTTTGCAGGTCTACATCGAGGCGTCAAAAGTTGGTGTTCAAGTTTATTATACTGATCTATCAGGTATGCAATTAGTTCTTTTCTTATTTTGTAATTATTACATACAATAATCTGTTTTTGCTTTTTTTTCTTACACAGAATCTTTCAAAAAAAAAAATTGCTGTTTTTTTTACAGACAATAGATAAACGCCTAATCACACACCTATTTATTAAATTTTTTTCTCTTGTTCATTCTGATATATATATTTTTCTTTTACAGAATCTGTTCTAAAGGTATTCAGGAACATAAACCTATATTCCGTAATACCAAAAACGAATATCTTTCCAAATGTTCATCAGGCAGTCTTACATCTGACCAACAAATAACTTTTCGGCAAATTTAATCATAGATATAAACCATAATTATCATTTTTAACGTCAACATCAACTTTTAACCATAATTATCATTTTGAACGTCAACATCGGCTGTGACATCACCATTATCACTACTTTTATGATCACTGCCAATTTAAAGCTTATTTTTTTTTAGCAGAATTTTCAAGTTGTAGAAATTTTGCTTGTTGTTCAATGCATCGGGTTCCTTTTTGCCTCCCTATATTTTACTTACTTTCTTTTCTTTTTTTTTGTTTTTTGTTTTTGTTCTTACATTTGAATTGTCATCGACATTAAAATGAAAGTTTTATGAACCTCAAGTCATCTGTTGCACAAAGGTGTAATTCAGTTTACTGGTATGCTCTAAATTCTTTATTCGACAATAAAAACTTTGCTTTTTTTAGCGATCTCTAAAAGATCGTTTTTGATTACCAATAGCTAGCTAATTAAGTGTGGTTCTGTTGAGATAATTTGTTGCCTATTAACAATAAAACTGTCACTTTGACCTAACGAAAAGAAAACTACAGCTGGTGAAGCAATAAAAATAAAGCAATGGTGCCGTCGTCGTTCTTCGCACATTTATCCGCAACCTTAGCTATACCGACTTTGTTATCTTAAGATACATACGTCTTTTTCATCAACAAAATGTTTCTTTTGGTATCATTTCTATCGCTAATTTTTTCAAAAGTTTCAAATTCAAATATTTTATAAATTATGCATATAGAGATGACCAAACTCAGAAAAAAACTGGTTTATTGCAAATAAAAACGAAATCTAAGCTTAAACCTAAGAAGTTGTATTACAAGTTGTATTTTGAGTACCTAAATTAACTTGGGTGTTGCCAAACGATACGATTACTGTGCAGAGAAGAGCTATAAATATAAACAGAATAAATTGAAACTATTTCAAGTAAACTAGAGTAAAAGATTTATTTTAACCAAAGAATACAATTTATTGAGAGGTCACTAAACCCTACTTATCTTGATTTATATGTCTGATCATCATTAGTTTGGCAATTTTTAATTTTGCTACTACGTCTTTTTTAAATGTTAGACGAATTATTTATTTGGAATGACATCAATTTTTCAAAATTTAGTCTAAAAATAATCGCTAACGCTTCTTCTGCATACAATAATTAATCCCAAAAGTTGCAATTATCTGGTAACTTTTTTAAAGATTTAGCATTTTTGAACAAAGGAATACTTCAAATGCCAAAAAAAAAAAAAAGAAGTGAACTTTCCTATCTGTATGAGATAACTTTAGTATCATAAAGAGAAAGCAAAAATTGAGAAAAAAAAAAGCATAGATTCAGTAAAAAAGGATTCTTTCTTGACGCTAAATGACATCATTTCGGTTTCAAAGCTTCTGGAAATGAGTATAAGCGAAAACAAAAAACCACAGTTTCTTAATAAACATCGACGATTAAACTCTATCAACAATTGACTCTTCAATTCAGAGCATACATCAAAACAGCAGTTTTCTCATCCAACCCTTGCCATCGCTTCTGCGGAGTTAGTGCTGCTACTGCTACTGTTCACTGCTGT